TGCTTACACTGAGATGGCTGCAGTTCTCTTTGGGGAAGCGCTGCTACTTATTTTGAGTGTTGTTTCCTGGCTCCAGTGCAGGAGCCTTTATCCTACTGGCATAAACTTTCTAGCTTCCACCACTGATGTTTGGGCCTTCCCAGGGCAGTTCGTTAATATAGACTTGCATGAGACATTGTTTTGGGATCTAGGCCTCCAGCTAAACATATGGAGGACATTGCCATAGGCTGTAGGTCTTTAGCTGGACTTGAGTAAGACTCTGCCTGTTGGATCCAGGCCTTCAGCTGGATGCTTTGGGCCTCTAGTGTATGGACAGATTAAGTGTATTTGACTTCTGCATTTGACTCTCTAGGTGAATATAGAATCCTATTAACTATGTGTCCTCTGTTAAATCCTTTCCTTTGTAAATTCTGACTACAACAATTGGCTTTACAAGTCATGATCAAAAATATAGTGAATTCTGGTGTTGGATGCCTCTCAGTGGAAAGGCAGGCTTGTAAAAACATTCTGGTGTATTCTCTTCATTTTTGTTCACTGCATTTGGCTTCTCCCTCTTGTAATCCACAAATGAGCCCCCAAGAGCCCCCAACCTTGAGACCAAAAAAAATGGGGCAGGACATGTTTGTTTTTTTTTTTTTTTTTTAAAAAGCAGCGCTGATTTATTTTATCCTGGGCCCAGCAACACAGTGCAGTTGGAGTTTGCAAAAGCTGTGTGTCTCCCTCAAAACTTTCCAGATCTTTTGTAGAAAGCACAGTTTACAAAGTAAGGGGTTATGGGCATGGATCAGGAAATCTGCTAAGGAAATGAGGAAGACCTTTGTTTCCCTTAGCAGAGGACAGAGAAGTCTAGCAGTAATTAACAATCCTTTGTCAGCTTATTTTAGCACCACATCTGTTATTTGTAGAGGGCAACAATGGTTAACATATCAATTAGGTTAGGTTCCCAGGGATTTACAGTTCTTTACAGAGGGGAGCATTGATTAACATATCATTTAGGTCACACACACCCCAAATGCACACAGAACAGTACAGTGGCATTACAGGTACTTTGGTCCTATAACTTAGGCATAACACAAACATAACAAAGCTCTTTTTGCTAGTGTACAGCACTCCCCCAAATTAAAATGATCATTTTGAATTGACTCAGGACACTGAGACAGCTACAACAGCACAAACAAAAACACTAATGAAAGAGGACTTGTAGGACTACTTGAGAAAGGGACAGGAATTATGGGATGTGTATTTGAAGCAACAGGAAGTATTTTGAGGGACATTTAAAAATTTAAACACTCACTGTATCTGCTGATCATACCTCAGAGCACAAGTCACAGGATGTGAAGAGAAATCAATGGTCTTAAATAATGAAGAGATTTAGAATCAATATCTAAGAAGAAATAAACCTAAAGGTGAAGTGACTGAATTGTTTCTCACAAAGATTGGGGTCAAGGCAAGGGCGTCCACTTTTGTCATTTCTCATCAACATTAGACTGGAGGTCCCAGCAGTGCAATAAGAAAAGAAAACAATTAGATTTGTAATGGCAGGGAGCAATGAAACCCAAAATGTGTAATAGTCATGGTACAAAAGAGAGGAAAAGAAAGTGCTCCAAACTATATAACTGCATGTATATTTAAGTGTATAAGATAGAAAATGATATCACAGAGTTTTATTGGATCAATGAACAGAACTGTTTGCAGTATCATTGATGGAATGTCCACTTTACAAACTTTAATTTTGTGACTTCAACAATTATTTCTAAGATGACAATATGTAATCCATTAACTAGTGATTTCCTACTGTTCATTTTTTTTCTGTAAATCTGTATAACTTGTACCCTTTCCCTGCTTTTTTTTTTCTTTTCTCCTTAAATAAAATTTAAAAAAAAAAAGATTTGTAATGGCACCAAAAGAATAAATCACTCAGGAATAAATTTAATGCCAATAATGTAGAAATGTACACTGGAAATTACCCAACATTGCCAAAAATCTAAAAATCTACATAAATGGAAATGTGTCCCATCATTGCAAATTGGAAATTTAATGTTATTAAAATGTCAATTTTCTCAAAATCGATCCCTAAATTCAATACATTTCCTATATAAATAACAGAAGGTTCTTAAAATTGATACAGTAGGGGCTAGGGTTTAGCTCAGCAGCTAAATGCCTGCCTGGCAAGCGTGAGGTTGTGAGTTCAATCCCTGGTACTGGAAAAAAGCAAAAAAATTTAAAAATTAAAAAAAAAATAAAATTGATACAGTAATCCTAATGTTCATAGTTTAAATTTGGGGCTAGAGATGTAGCTCAGTAGTACAGTGCCTGCCTGGCAAATCATGAGTTCGATTCCCAGTATGGAAAAATAAAATTTAAAAATTAAAAATATTTAAAATTTTAAGAACCAAAAATAACCAAAGTACTTTTGAAAAAGACAAAGTTTTAGGACTTACTTAACTAAAAAATTTATCATAAAGCTGTACCAATCAAGATTTCAGTATTGGCCTAAAGATAAATGAAGGAACAAAATAGAGTTCAAAACTAAAATCCTTCAATACATGGTTGACTGATTTTCAGCAGTTCAAATTGGAATATAACTAAAGTCTTGCCCAAAAACAATACTAACTTGACTTGTCTGTTTTTGGTCAGACTTGCACACACCTAGCTCTTTTATTTACATATTAGTTTAGTGGATCTCAAAGAACGTTGCAGGGATTGATCCTATCACAGAGTTTGCTAGGTTAAAATATTTTCTTAATAATAGAGGTGATATATGTGCCTCTGGCTTCAGTAACTCATGAGTATGCAGTGAAGTTTTACAAAGCCTACGTGATGTGAATCACTACAGATTGAATGCAGAAGCAGATATGAGAATCCAACTGTTTTTTAAAACCAAACATTAGTTTCATAATGCTGCTCTAAAGCATAACCTGAGATAAGGTTTGCTCTACTACTGGCCTTTTATTTTTTAATTTTTGAGACAGGATCTTATTACGATGCCAAGGATTGACCTCGAATTTCTCTTACCTAAGCCTCCTGAGGAGTTTGGAATTACAGGCATATGCCACCATGCTCCCAAATATGATACCCCCCCACCCCCCCACCCCGTGAAAACATGTTAACACAAAATGAGTTTATTATATTTTAAATGAGCTGATGAGTATTTTTTAAATTTTAGTTTCTTATTTAAGTATGATAAGTATTGATAGATAAAACACACACAAACACTAATGCTCTTTGGGATCTTCAGTAGTCTCTATGGATATTAAGGGTTATTGAGATTAAAAACTTCGGGAACAAATTCCCTTGTCTACCTTCTGGGCATGAATTTCTATTCACCACATTTAACAACACAGGATAAGAAGGATGATTGGATTTGGTCTTCAATCTATTTCAAGATAAATCTATAGCTTTTAGAAACATTTAGAAATATAACAAATGTTAATAATACAGGATTTCTCTTGTTCTTGGAAAAAATACAATTGTAGTCCAAGGAGATGCATGAACATGGAGAAGACTTGTAAGACTAAGCTTGTAAGGTAGTGACAATTACTATTTTACTTGATTATGATATTCTTTTTCATTCAGCAAGTATTTACTGAATGTTTACTGTATAACAGGCTTAATGGTCAGCATTGGGAATTCAATGACGAGCAAAACATAAGCAGTTCTGCCTTAGATTAGTTCACAGTCAAGTTGAGGGAGGCACCAGAATAATCATATAGACACATGGAATGAGAAATGAGGTAAGCGCTTCTCTTAGTCACTTTTCTTGACGCTGGGACAAAATACCCAGCACTTGTAATTTAAAGGAGACATTTATATTAGCTCATAGGTTTTATATGAGTCAGTTTATAGTAGGCTAGCTTCAAAGCACAAACAACATGGTGCAAGAGTCAGGTGTAGGTATCCGTGCGTCGTGGTGGCTAAAAGCAGTGTGAAAAGGGAGGAACTATCGAGGGGTGACGGCTCAGTGACCTGCCTCTTCTGACCAGACCCTACCTCCTAATAGCACATTCATCTCAGAACTCTTCAGTAGATTAATCCACTGACAAGTATAGTACCCCACTGTCCAATCATCTTCACCTCTGAACTCATGAGTCTTTTGAGGGACATTTAAGATCTAAACCATAACAGCATTTTAAACAGAGTGATGAAGGTATTAGTAGAGGAAGGATATTCACCGTGATTTGCAGAGTTGAGATTTCTCTCAAGTGCCAGTTACTGCAGTTTCAGAAATTAGCAGGGATTGAGGAGACATGTTAAAAGGCTCTGCAGTAAGCAAGAATCATCTGGGGGCCGATGTGGCTGAGGTACGCAGGGCAAGTTCATACCGTGATGAATATTAGAGCCCAAACCATGTGGGGATTCGCAGGCATTGCCAAGGATTTTAGATCTTTGTCCCATGGTTAGTGGAGAATCTTGAGATTCAGGAAAACGGCGTGACAACATTAGATCTATATAAGATTACTGCTAGCAGGAGCATAGTGGGACAAGGTCTAAAAGCAGAGACAGCAGGGTGTGGTGGCAGGTTCCAAGTGAAAGACGATGTTAGCTTGTCCACAGAAATGGCAGTGGCGCCTCAAAGAAATGGATGAATTTGGGACATATTTTACAAGTAGGACCCGTAAGAACTAGAGATTAAAGATTAACTAGCACTGTCGTCCACTGACCTAGTCAAATATTCTTCCAAGCAAGATCAACTAATGAGGTTATTGAGAATTTGGAAAATCACCCCACTCTTCTTTGACAATAATCCAAAATGTCCAGGCGATGAATAGTCGTTGGAGAATATGGGTTTGCTGCTGTATACGGGCCCACTGCTGTACACCGGCCTCGTGAAGCTCACACCCAAGGCTGCAGACCTGAGAGGTTGGTTCCCAGCCCTCACAAGAAGCTCATGACATTATTTATGGCTGGAGGTCACTAGTGCTCTGGCTCCTGGGCAACGCCATTGTTGGCTCCTGCGTGGGGGTGGGGTAACAAAGGACAACTGCTGGAAGAGAATTCGGGAAGACAGGCACAGTCGGAGCGGGGCAAGTAGGGAACACGTGCCGTTTCCCTGGCTATCGCTGGTGATTCGAGGCTTCTGCTACAGGCGCAAGTAGAGGGTGGGATGATCAAAACCACGCTCCCTGATTGGTGGGCTAGAGGCACTGCGCCGCTCATGATTGGGCCGACTGGGCCGTAGGGCGTATTTTGAACCGCGTAGGGTTCTGGGTAAGAGGCCTTAGAAGGGTCTTAACCGAAAGGGGGAGGGGGAGGGTCGCCAACAAACGGCTGAGCTCATAATCCCGGCCAGGACCAGCCAGAGCGCCCCCTCCCCCATGGAGACAGCCAGGCCTGAGCCACCGCCTCAGCCGCGCCAACTGCCACGGGCGACGCCTCCGCGCCCGTTGCGCCCCGCTCCGCCCTCGCTGCCAGTCGAGGGCACGTCCTTTCGGGCAGCGGCCTCCAAGCCCTCGCCGTCGCCGCCTGCCCCGTGCGCAGCCGCCATTGTGACCGTGGCCTCGTCCTGTGGGGAGGCTCCAGCGTTGGGTGTACAGCCCAGGACGCAGCGGCTAATTCAGGTGAAGCCAGAGCAGGTGTTGCTGCTGCCACAGGCGCCACTACTGTCTCAGGTTCAGGACGAGGGCGGCCCCGCCCCTCCCGCGCAGGCGCAGGCGCAAGCGCAGGCGCGGCTGCTGCAGCTGAGGCCCGAGCTACTGCTGTTGCCCCCCGTATCCGAGGGCGCCCCCTACAGGCCCGAGTTGCTCGCAGTGCAGCCCCAGGCACCACAGGTCAAGGCGGAGAAGCCAGAGGTGGGCCACAACTTGGAGCCGTCCGTAGGACATCTGAGGGTCGTCGAGGCTGGCCCTCGAGCCTCCACGGTGGCCACGGTGGACGGCCACGGGCTGGCCCTCGACAGCCTCCGAGGGGATGAGAACAAGGGAAAGCTGGGGGCAGAGGAAGTCATGAAGGATGCTGTGAGACCTGGCGAGGGCAAAAGCCTGGCTGCTATCGGGGATGGAATTATCAAAACCGAGGAACGCGAGGACTGCAGACTGGGCACGGAGCCTGCATCCAATGGCCTGGTCCATGGCAACAAAGAGGTCATCCTGGCCCAGCCATCCAGCGCCTTTGGGCTGCAACAGCAAGACCTCAGGATCCCTTTGACTCTCCACCCGGTTCCCCCGGGCACCAGGATCCAGTTTCAGGGACCTCCACCTTCAGATCTGATACGGTTGACCAAGGTACCCCTGACACCAGTGCCTATTAAAATGCAGTCCTTACTGGAGCCATCTGTAAAAATTGAAACCAAAGACGTTCCGCTCACCGTGCTTCCCTCAGACGCAGGTATTAGACAGCAGGGGAATCTGGTTTTCAAAACTTCGTCTGTTGCCCCATAGCAGAAATGTCAGCAATTCAGAAGCCTAAACTAGAAAAGTAAAATCATGGAACTGATTCTTAGTCTGCACAGGTATCACTTCTGCTTGACTTGTATGTATTTCAGTAAAATGCACTAACACGTTTAAGATTCTCACAAGCCCAAGCAATGAAATTTAGGAAACTAATTTTTATATACAAATATTCCTGCTAGGCAACGCAAAGCCCTCGATTTGTATGTTACAATCCATCAACACTGAAATATTCGATACTGTTATTAGTATCAGAAATACAAGAAAAAATCGGTAATAAAAAGCTGGTTATGTAAGTGCTTTTACGGATTATAGAGATTATCTTTTTTAAAAAAGTGAACAGTAACCATTTTTTCCAAGAAAAAATCTATGATTAAATAACATTTTACTATTCTAAAATCTAAGGACTTAGAAATATTGATTGAAAATGAAAATACTATAGAATAAGCTAGAATTGTTTTTTTAAAGAAATGACTATAATTATAGCTGTAACAACTGCAAATCAACATTTCCTTCCAGTATTTACAAATACGTAATTAGCAAGTTCTTAAAAGATTTAGTTCAAACAGACCTGTCAATAAATGTCTTTGAGAGTTATATTAATATTCACATTTTAATTAACCTTTATGCTTGTTTTTTTTCTTTACTGATTCTTCTTACCTGTCTTACCCCATTAGTTTTTTCTTTAGCAATTTTTAGACTTCTTCATTTTCTAATGGAAATAATAGGATAGCTTTCTTTACACTAAGTTTTCTATCTTTTATGTGTTTAAATTTTTGAATCAAGTAGCTAAGAGAAACTATAAGTGTGTAGACAATATTTTATACACTACATAGAGATGTAAATTTAGCCGACTTTATTGTAATTTCAACTGGCTCTGAGTCTTAAAAAGTCACTTTTATTATTTTTCTCTTATCTCCCAGAACATAGGACTGATGTTGAGAATAGACTTTGGTAGGAGCTTCACCTTAAAAGCAGAATACAGCTAATTTAGTTTTTCCCTTAAAAGACATTATAAGAGCATGTAAATAAGTCTCTTTAAATATGTAGGTAATGCCTAACTTAGTATTAGAATCATAGTCATGAGTAAGTCATAATTGCCCCCTAATGATATACCATTTTTAGTGGGAAAATACATGTTTCCTATTTGTTAGATGTATTACTGGCATTCAGAGAAATAGTAAGCTAGCCATTTACTGTCTTCAAAATTGTTTCACAGTATCAGAGGTTATAAGGAATTCAAGAATATTGGCAGTTCTTGGTTATAATGAAATGTATGTTTTCTTTAGATACTTAAAAAATCAGTACAGATAAAGGTGTGCTGCACTTTAACATCATGTGTGTCACATTAATTAAGCCTGTTAATTTTTGTCGTTTAGGAATACCAGATACTCCCTTCAGTAAGGACCGAAACGGTCATGTGAAGCGACCCATGAATGCGTTTATGGTTTGGGCGAGGATTCACCGGCCAGCACTGGCCAAAGCTAACCCAGCAGCCAACAATGCAGAAATCAGTGTCCAGCTTGGGTTAGAGTGGAACAAACTTAGCGAAGAGCAAAAGAAACCTTACTATGATGAAGCACAAAAGATTAAGGAAAAGCACAGAGAGGAATTTCCTGGTAATCAATGAAATAAACAAAGCCTCTTTTATATTTCTTTTAAATTGATTAACAAAGATTGTTAGGCTGAGACTGAAAGATAAAACTGTAATTTTTTCCTCTAATCTGCTATGTTCAAAAAAGAGAATAATGGCTAATACTGTAATAATGCTTGAGACAAGGCCTCAGTCTCCTTAAATAGAACCAAGCAGGGGAATATTTGATTTCATACTTACTAATGCAAACCAAAGATAAGCAATTTCATTGTAATTTTGATTAAACACATATAGATACTACAGATATAAATTGATAAAGGTAAATTTCTAGAACTCTAGACTATTTTGCAGTTACACTACAAATATTAAAACCATGGGGAAAATGTGTGTCACATACTTAGGACAATGCAGGGATTAGCACCATACTCCATTTTAATACCATATGATAATCAGAACGTAGATTTATTCCTATGATGTTGTATAATTTGAAATGTCTCTGATTCTTGTCCACCACTAAGATAATTGAGGTTTAAGGATGGAAAAATGGATAGTGTATAGTGAATATAACTATGCATGGTGGGAAGAGAATTTCTGAATTACAAGCAGAGAAGTTTTAGTTAAATTGTTTGTAGCTACAAACTGCCAAAGTCTGTCGACTTTGGAAGGACATTGAATTATTTATGGTTTGGAGATTGCCAAATCTAGAAGAATGACTCTTTCTGAATTAGGCATAAAAATAGTGACCAGTTATTGCTATTACTTGTAAGATATAGACAGTTGTATCTTATAGAAAGGAAACAGGAGGTGATGCATAATGTCTTATTTTATAAGCAGAGCAAGAGCTTTGGGATTCAGCTTAAATGGCTTTGATGTAAATTGTACTCCAGACTGAGTGTGTGTCACTGAATATAAGACATTTGACCTTCTTCCTTTTAATTATGGATTACAAAGTTGTCCACCAGTTAAAAGCTGTATAGATATATGTTAAAATGTACAATAGAAGAGTCATTCACAGAAATAGTATCAAAGAGTGGGAAAACCTATTTTTTTTGGTACCAGGAATTGAACTCAGGACCTTGTGCTTGCTATGCAAAACAAGGAACAAAACAGATATTTGGTAGGAAATGGGTAACTTCCATTGTTCCTTTTTCAGCAGTAACAGAATGATCTTTTAACAGATCAATATTGTGCTGCTGAGCCCCTGAAATCTACTTTTTTTGAGATGGAGTCTCTTTATATAGTTCATACTGGTCTTGAGCTTGTCATATAACTAGGCTGGCTTTGAAGTCTTGGCAATCCTCCTGTCTCAGCCTCCTGAATGCTAGGATTATGAGTACATGTCACCAGCCCTGGTGTGAAAATCTACTTTAGATAATAACCTACTTTTAAGACAGGCATTGTGGCTCATGCGGATAATCCCAGCACTCAGGAGGTTGAGGCAGGAGGATTGCTTCCAGTTCAAGGGCAGCCTGGGCTACTAAGTGAATTCAGGGCCAACCTGAACTGCATAGTGAAACTCAAAAAGACAAAATAATAATGATAATAATAATAATTTGCTTTTAAAAAACTTTGAAGTGTGTGTATGTATTTTAATGCCAAGTTGAGGCTATACATTTATATTAAAAATAGTCTTTTTCTTTAGGTTGGGTTTATCAGCCTCGTCCAGGGAAGCGAAAACGCTTCCCTCTAAGTGTGTCCAGTGTGTTTTCTGGTACCACACAGAATATTATCTCCACGAATCCTACAACAATTTATCCTTATCGTTCACCTACCTACTCTGTGGTAATTCCCAGCCTGCAGAACACCATCACTCATCCCGTTGGTAAGTTGGTTTTATTATAGATTACTATCTTTTAAGAGGCTGTGTGAAAATTTTACCTCTTGAAGTGAAATTCCATTTGATAGAATCTGAGCAACAGTATTAATGAAGAAGAGAAAAAGTTGAGAACATTAAAAGGGAAAATTTCAATAAACATCAAAGCACTTGGGTTGCCACAGTAGCAAATCCAGACCTTTTAAGCAAATCAGGATGAGCCCCTAGATTAGTCAGATAATGCAGGAAATGACTGAGGTAATTCAGTAGGAAATAGGAGTATCTTCTTACTCTCAGAATGAAAGAATGCCTTGCTAATGGGATGTGAGGCATCCTGTCCTGGAATTCAGTAAATACTGATCTGTTAAAAGATCATTCTGTCACTGCTATAAAAGAACAATGGAAGTTACCCAATTCCTACCAAATATTTGTTTTGTTCCTTCTGTTGTCTCTCTGGAAATTTCTTCATTATCATTTCTTTACAACATTCCTGTAGGTTGAATATAAGAACCCCAAATTTGAGTAGCTTGTGTCTTAATAGCTTGTAATTGTGTTATCCATCATTGGTTTGTTTTTCCAGAATCTTAGGGACATTAACCATCTCTCAGGGAGAGCTTTGTTCAGTCATTACTTACTATCACTTGTTTTAAGACTACTTAAATAATCTTTTTAAAACAGCTCTTCCTAATTTCTACCTTCTCAGAACCTGCTGATGATAAAGCCTCCTCTACAAACTGACAGATTTAGATATCTTGAAAATTGAATTATTAGAACAATGCATTTTTAGTTTTTTAAAAATGTATCATTTTAGCAATCAGTAGCCAAATCAAAGCCAAATTCGAGCCTAGGCTTAAAAGAAAGATGCAGAAAATGAATCCTATAGCCTGTTGTCTCTCACTAGGTGATATTGCTTTTAATCCTGTATTTCAAAAGAGGTTTAATTGTATCTTGTTTTGTTTTTATGCTGATATTTATGACTTTTGTTTTCATAATTTGTTTTTTATCCCCCTTTTCATGACTTTACTTATATCTGCTTCTATCTTTTGTTATATACTGTGTGTTTTCTCAGGAACAAATTTATCAATGTTCTTATTAGAGATCTTATATATATTAATTTTATACCTTCTGAGAAGAGATAAAGCTTGAATAGGAACTGTATATTTTTCTTCTGATGTTGGTAGGCTTCTTGCAGCCAGACTCTTGTACTTAAGTATATGGTAGAATTATAGGGAGCATTTCCAGAACAATACATAACAATAACCAAAGATATGATTCCTTATTATTATCATTATTATACCCTTTATTTCTGAAAGAGTTTTGGCCCAGACAGGACACTGTAGCCGGTAAAGCCTTAGAGGCAAAACCAAGGATCTCCATCTCCCTCACCCCTAGGAATTTACCTATGGCTCATGCTTCCCCACCCCTAGGAATTTACCTCTGGTGCCAAACGAATACCAATTGGCTACCTGTGCATCCCTAATGCCCCTCAGGCTCCACCCCAAACCTAAGCTACATATATGCCTCCACTCCACGTGTCCCACAGAGAGAGCCGACTGGAGGGGGGGATATGCCACACCCTGGGGGGGGTCCTCTCCCCACATTCTTAAAATAAAGGTCATTTATATTTCATACTTATCTTTTCAGCTGCCCCACAATTCTATCAATTTCTAGTGAGATCTAAAGTAAGGAAAAGTTCCTTTCCTGGATCTCAAATGATAAACAGTTATTTTTCCAGATATCTAACTTAAAAAGGGATGAGCTTTATGTGCTATTGTGCTATCCAGTCTTTTTAAATTTTATTTTAAGGATAATTAAACCCAACAAAACAAAACTGAATAAAGCCAGTCAAAACAAAGCAGTGAAATTGGTGCAGAACTTCAAAGCAGGATAATAGGAAAATAACAGTGGCTACCGTAGTACACCTTGCTATCTTCACAGTAGCTGTCCATTCCATCATGTATAGCAAAATCAAACCAAACAAAACAGAATAAAACCAATCAAAACAGAATGGTGAATAAAGCAAAACAATCAGAGCAAAACAAAACAGAACAATATTGAACTTCAAAAATAAGACAGAAGGAAACCCCCATATTTGCTATATTGCATACTGTCATCCTCCCTATGGGTTCTCAGACTGCCGACCCCAGGCCTGCAATGGCTAGTTGACTTGTTTGTACTGTTCAGTCTTGCAGCCTTGAAATACGTTATTTTAGTTTGCTCTTACCAGCTTGGCATATATTATTTAGAAGAGTTCGTACCACAAGCAAATTTGGGAATTTCAATATTAGTTCATATTCTAAGTTATTTATAAAACTATTAATAACAAAATAATTTGGAGAATGACAGTTTTAATCTCTTAGATACTAATTTTAGACCTGTTCTTTCTCTTAATTTATATTCTAAATATAAAGTTTAAGTCTAAATATAAAATCATAATTTTATTTTTTAAGCAAGTTTTATTCCATTAGAAGAAAAATGTAAGGTATAGAAGCTTTACTTTTCTTTCACAGAAAAAATTACCCTTTTTCTGTCAAACTTTGTGCATTAAAGAATACCGTATGGACTCTACCAGCTTTTCAGCAATAGAAAATAGACTCACCAAGCTAGAGTGTTGAAGGTCACCACTCTGATTAGGTAGAAGTTAGGTTGATGTCCCAAAAATTCTGTGGCAGACTCCATTTTTATTTATCTTATCTAATATTTTTTTAGTTCACCATTGAGTTTCTCTATAGTTTTTAGGTAAAGGCTACCTAAGATGTATTTTTTTAAATTCATTTTGTGAGTTTGGATCGAAAGATCTTGTGAATTTGCCACTATATGTTAGCTGATCTAATATTCTGAAATTATCTGCTATGAAAATAAGGGTTTAGAAATCCTAAAGTCTTCTTCAGGTGTTTTCAGCTCCCTTTTATATTTTAATGACTAAATAATTCCTCTGATTTTTTTTTCTTTCTAAAATACAAGATTAAAGTAGTTAGAAGGTCAGTTAGTACAATTTGGAGATGTTTGGGGCCTGGCTTCTTCAACATTTGGGGTTGTTTTCTACAGTTGCACAAGAATATAATGGGTTCTCTTTGATTTGTCTGGTTAGTTACAGCACCTTTCCAATTCAGAGTCATATTTTTTTCTTTTGATGTTTCACCCTTACAATATATGTATTTTACATTTTTACATATCAAATAGCCTTCATTTTCCTGTGTCCTTTTTATTCTATATCCTTATCAGCCTTTTTCCCCTACCTAATATTTGTATTCCAAAATTTAATAGACCTGGGTAGATTTACTTATCTTTATTGGTCTTCTCTCATTAGTCAGGAATTCAAATGTAGAGATACTGTGATTATGCTGGGTGTGGTGGCTCATGCTTGTAATCCAGCACTCAGGAGACTGAAGCAGGAGGATTGTTGCAGATTGGAGACCAGTGTGGGCTACAAAGTGAGCTCAAGAGCAGCCTGAACTTCACAGTGAGAGCCTGTCTCAAAAAGACAGGGGGGAAGAAAAGATTATTATCATGTCATGTTTCATATACTGAACTAATGAATCACTGTAGTACTCTTTCTCTATCATTTGACTTTCAATGATTCTTAATTCATTTTACTGTGGGTCTACTAACCCTATTTTGCTCAAATAAGGAATCAGATCTTCCCAGTACATTTTTATCTCATTAAGATACTTAGTGCATTGGAAAACTAAAAGTATGGTTTGGTACTTTCTCTGTTTCAGTGAATTTTTCTATCTCCTATATTTTCTGAGTAAATTCTAGTGCTATATTTGCATCCCTGCCTGCCCTCTCTTCTGCCTGATATTTATTGAATATCTGTGCTAGAGACAACGTATAAAGGTATTTTTACAGTCTCCAGTGTGAAAGAGTTTGTAAAGTAGTTGTAGGTATCACAGATAGAAATAAAATTAGATTTTCTATATTAAAAATAGATTGATGGAATCTTTAGTACTTTTCTTGTCTGGTAATGTTTTTATGTCAGTGAATTGTTTATTGTGTCTCTCATATTTAATGCTGTGTTACATTAATGAGCTCTACAGTACAATGGTTTAAACATGAAACTCAATTTTCTCCCCTGTAAAGTCCACAGTGGGTGTTCCTGATTGATATTTTTGATCCCTCTCTTTCAAAATACCGAGGTTTTCTTCTTATCCTCTACCCTGCTGTCTTTAATAATCGACGTCTAAGGCCACTCTCCTGAGCCTGCAGAAGGGAAAACAGCATGGAGGGTCCTGTGTGAGCGTCTTATGCGCCCAGGGTAGTAGATACTGTTTCTGCTTATATTCTGTTCTGTTGGGCAGCTCTTAGCTGTGTGGCCATTCCTAACTGTAAGCAAGCTGGGAAATATAACCAGGTGTGTGCTAGAAGAAGAGAAAACAAGTGCAGGCCAATTTCTACCCCTCCTTACCTACAATTTGATGTATTAGAGCTCTGCCTTTTTCACAAGTTTTCCATAGTCACTGGGAGCTTATCAGACAGGACTGAATCTTTCAGACTTTAATCACCTGCTTTTTAGCCTGACATTTAGGATACTTTACTCCCGTATAGTGTGCTGTATCTATTAGATACGACTGAAAAATACAGTAAATGTTTAAATGTAAAAATGTGTTATAATAAATGACCTATCACCACTCATCCCCCTCCAGATACTCCCTTTGCTCCCCATTTGTCCCACCATTCTTACCATCTTTCTGCTGTAGTTCTGAAGGCCCTCTCGTGAGGGTCTTTAGCTGTAGTGTTGTGGTTGCTTTGATGTCCTGAATTGATTCAAAGTGCTTACCTCTCATGGTCATATTTTGATTTTGGGGAAGAGCGAAAAGTTGCATAGTACCAGATCTGGTTAATGAGGTGGATGTAATGAGAGCACACTGTATGTTTTTACAACCTTTCTTTTCTTTGGATGGGACACAGCAGCATCCACCCTGTTGGTTTTTTTTTTATATTATACTTTGTAAAGGCACTCACAAAAGAGAACTTCCAGAACTGCTTCAGAAAGAAGCAAGAATGATGAGATATGTGTGTTTGAAGTAATGGCGGGTTTTTTGATAGGGAGAAATGGCAGTGTGTGTCTTTTATTGTAATAAGTTTTTAAAAATTTAAACAAACACCACAGTTCTTTATTAAACCTTCCAATTTGTAACCTTAGACCAAAACGGTTTCTAGCACATGTTATTTGCATAATGAATATTTGTTAAGTTACATAAATGCATGCTTATCACCCCATGTCTCATTTCTAGCTTTAGGAATATCTTTAATAGAAAAAGAGCATTTGGCAAAAGATATATTTCTTTTGTCTTTAGAAACTGAAAGTTTATCGATGTTTCTTTACAACTATTGTATTTTATTTTCCTTTGCCTGAAAAAAATCATATTTCTTCACTGATAACTAATAGCTTCTTGAATTAAGTATGGGTAAAAGAAAGCTGCCGCAGGGTAGATTTTGGGGATTAGCATCTTGAGCATAGTAATTATCCTGTTAACATGATTTTGAGAGATTTCACAAAAAGTTAGTCTTTTTAAAACAGTTGTTTGTGAAGGTTTAGATCCCCTTCTATTAGGTCAGTGACACAAGTATTATCAGGTATACTCAGTTTGTTAGCTTATTATTTCATTCCATTCATTCTTTTCTTAACTTTTTTATTAAGCAGGTTCTGTGTTAGATTTGGGTATCCAAACATGAATGGAGAGAAACAGTTCCTACCCTTGTTTGCAGCTTGGTGACTAATGGGGACAGCAGACAAGCAATTAAGTGCAGAGATGTATACTATTTTTATCCTAAGTGATAGATTTACAAGGTTTGGAAGATACACAAAGGGAAATTACCTTATACTTGATAAATCAGGAAAGGTCTAATTTGGGCTTCTGCCTCACAGATGGAAGGACTAATCCATATGAACTCATCAATGAGAATCCAGACAACTTTGTTTACAACCTACTGCTCTACTGTGTTCTTTAATTTAGTACTTCCTGGTTTAGGTAGCACATTATCTGTCCCAACCCAGAGAAGGAGGGAGGGGGAAGTCTTAGGTAGAGAGGGCTGAAAGAAGATTCTTTTTTTTTTTTTCTGGTCTCTGACCAAAGATGTCTCTAACTGCAGAGTCTGTTCTTGTACTACTTCCTCTTTATTAACAGATACCCAACTTCATAGGGATAAAACGGATATGACTATGGCTACATTTGCTTGTACTATGGCTACATCTGCTTGCACTTCATCAGAAAACAGTTAAGTTTACATTAGGTATTTTGCTAATGCAGCTACTCAAATCAGCAGTCCTGTCTTCTTTAGGAATAAAAAGATAAAACGTATAATTGTTTGACTTGCCTTTAAAAATTCCTCCATATCCATCATGCCCTGCTATAATAATTTTCTTTTTATACTTGTTACAAATGGTTGACTTGTAATGAATTGTGGTCTCATTTGGAAATTTCCTCCTGTGTTCACATTGTATGCAATACAGTAAAACATTTTGTTGATTGCTTAATTTTTTCAATTAAAAATGTCCTCTATTCTTTAGTTGAATATAAAGAAAAATGCTTATAGTGCTACTCTGAAACATAAACTTAATATGTTTAGATTCATAGAAAATTCAGATAATACCAAATCAAAGTCCAAATTTTTCTGCTGTCCACCTACCCTGTCCTCCTAGATGACCACTCCTTAAGGGTAATTATTGTCACTAATTTAATTTCTGTTAGAAAAACAGTGATACGTTGGCTTATGAACTCAGTTCTCTCCACGATTCTGGTCACAAGCCAAACTGAACAAGATCCAAATCAAATTTCCCTGATAAGATTAACACTGACCTAACCACTGACTTTGATTTGGTTCTTGTCCAACTCGGTTTGTAAGTAGAATTGTGGAAAGAATCAAATTCATGAACCAGGATACCACTGTACATATGTACCAGCATTTATATATAACCGTTCTTTTTATCAATAAATACTTTAATTCATTTATTTACTCATTCAAAAATTGGTTAAAGGTTTGTTCTGTGGCAGTCAAAACTTGTGTCTGGGAAATAGTAGTGAACAAAGCAGAAAAGACCCCTGTGATTTATAGTCTAGTTGAGAAGGAAAGGCAAGTAAGGGTAAATAGACAAGAAATTACAATGATTACCTTTTGTTTGTGCTGTAAAGGGAATGCGGAGGTTTGGTATGATGATGATGTGAGGTAAGATGGTTTATGAAGGGCTCTGACCAATACACTAGATTTTCCTGAAAGGATGAACATGGAGTGATCCAATTAATGCTTTGTTTTTCTAAAGGTGAAGCCCCACCTGCCATCCAGCTGCCCACACCTGCAGTCCAGCGCCCAAGTCCCATCACGCTTTTCCAGCCCAGTGTCTCCAATAATGCCCAAGTGGCCGTCCAGGCTCCAAGTCTGCCTCTGCACCCGGCAGCTCCACCTCAGCGCTTTCCTGGGCCTTCCCAAGCTGACACTCATCTGCTGCCTTCTGGACCCAGTCACTCCGTGAAGAGACCCACTCCTGTCTCTCTCGAGAGCACCAACAGTATTTCAACCAGTGCAAGTACTGCCAATGCCAGATTTGCAACCCCAGCTATCCAGCCTCCTAAGGAGTATACCAGTGTATCTGCCTGTCCCAGAAGTGCTCCAGTCCCCCAAGCTCCTCCCATGCCACATTCACATGTCTACCAGCCACCTCCCCTCGGCCATCCAGCCACTCTGTTTGGGACGCCACCACGATTCTCTTTTCATCACCCTTACTTCTTACCTGGACCTCATTACTTCCCATCAAGGTAAATGAATACTTTTTTCTTTCATCTAAAAATGATTTTTTTAACTTATGAAATCATCTCTTTTTTTACTGAAAAGGAGAAGAATTTGTCAGTTCTATTTGGAATCTAATTTAGAGACCAGATAGGATCCAAAAAGGTAACACAAGTGAGTGAAGGGAGGAGATAAGGACAGAGGGAGCCAGGGAGTGTGTACACTCTACCCAATGGCGCAGCTACTACTCAGCTCTAGCCAGCATTTACCACTTAAGAATAGAGGCTTCTATGTTGTTCACCATGATTTTTTCACAGGAAACGCTAAAAGAGACCTTAAGGGCATCTAGTCAACAGCCAGAGCATCTAGTTTTGAATAGAACCATGCTTCTTAAACTTTAACCTGTATATAAATTATGTGGCAGCTTGCTAAAATGCAGATCCCTACTTTGTTAGGTCTGGTGTATTGCAGTATCCTATCCCAGAGTATAGTCACTTGGTATTGTGCATTGCTAATAAGTTCTCAAGTAATGTTAATTCTGCTAATTTGGGGAACCACGATTTGAATAATAAGGATGTAGAGGCAAGCTTTCTGAGAGATTAAATAGTTCACAGTAACACTTCTGTTCAGTGCCCTTTTTACCATACTAGAAAATTTCACTTGTAAATTACCAATACAAATAATTGACTTTTCATGGGAAAGCATCTAGGGAAAAACAAATTTATAATGTCTCCTCTTGAAATGAGAGAATTTAACTCCCTTGCAAATATTCTGATAGAGTGATAAGGAACTCAGTTTTTCAATTGTCAACTGTTTAGACAGTTTCCATTGATATTGGGGTGTTAAAGGCTTGGGCTTGAAAGAAGGGATTTAGAACAAGAGAAAGAATGCTTTGCTATCAGAGGTTTGTTTTATTTTGCTTTTTGTATGATCTTTTTATCCTTAGCAGTCTTCAAGAGTATTTTAGTTGAAGAGATCAAACCAAAGAGATTCCTAAAACCAGGGATCGATATTCTCTTTCCACTGCTGTGTACCATGTTCTAGATTTTAAAGGAATTTCAGAGAATTTTTAAAATATTTTCTATATAGAAGAAATTAAGGACATAATAGAATTAAATGAATTAGTATAGATTTGGTCATAGGTGGCCTTAGTTAAACCTTGATTCCATAAGTAGAATTATAGAAATTTTGTTACATAATTCATTTTATAATATCGAGAAAAGTTTGAGCAGTTTTACAGAAAAAGAGAAAATAAATCACTAAAAAAGGGCATGTCTTACCATTTCACTTTAGCTGTTGTTTTTTGTTGTTTGTAGGTTTAAATTTTTTTTAGTTTTTCTTTGGAAAGCATGTAATTCTCAAAACAATCCTGTGACATAGGTATCATATTCACTTACTTTTTTCAGATAAATTGGTCAGATGTTCAGTAGCTTTGTAGATATAAATATTCATGTCTGTGGGTTTATTTATTTATTATATTTTATATTTATTCTTTTATTTGCTGAATAGATCATTTTTCCCTGTGGATCTAGAATAAAAATTAAGTGGGTTAGGCAATTTAGATAAGGGATCATTTGTAAAATAGATGAGTACTCTGAAGTGCTGATCTCTTTCTGAGGGGTAACATCTTCCTGCCTTTAAATCTCAGCTATCTTTGTATTGTTCTTTCCTAAAACTCTGATTTTCAGTGCATTCCATGAATTCCTTAGGTTAGCTCTCCTTTTTGTTTTACTACTTTTTACCTTCTTGCAGCACAGTTTTGTTTTTACATTTTATATATATATATTATGTATATTATATATATGATATCTTCACTCTGCTGATAATTAAATTAAGTGTTAATCTATTGGAAATAGAAATATATGGAAAATATGGTTATATATGGATATACATTGGGATAATAAGTCCAAATGACTCCTGGATTTGAAGGAATAGATAGCATCATGATTGTTAAGTTTTAGGCAAAAATTTTATGAGTTAAAAGCAATTCTCCAGGGGCTGGGGATTTAGCTCAGTGGCATAAGCGCCTGCCTTGCAAGCAGGCAGTTGAGAGTTTGATCCCTGGTACTGATAAAAACGAAAAAGACAAAAAAAAAGCAATTCTCCATAAACTTTGTATGAGTCATAGATTCACTTAAGAATTTGAAGTTACTGACCCTCCCCATTACTTGGATTCCACAAGCCTCATGCATTCATAGGTGGGGCTATTAGAAGGTAATTGAATCATACAGATGATATACTTGATTGGCTAGTAGGAAGGTGGGGTCTGGTTAGAAGAGGAAGGTATTTTTCTTTCCCTGACTCCTCCCTTGCGTGTCTTCCTACTGTCTAACAAGATGTAAGCAGATTTTCCTTCACTATGCCTTCTTGCTATTCCTCTTTTGCACTGGAACCAGCTGACTTTAGACAGTAACCATGAGCCAAAATATATTTCTCCTCCCTTAAGTTGTGGGTGTTGGGTTATTATATTGGGTCCCAGTGATGAGAAAATGACTAAGACAAGTTTTGGTACGCAGAAATAGTGGTGTTGCAGTGAATATGCCTGGCCATATTGTCAGAAGCCTTTAGAAGGGATTTATAAGGGAAATTTAGAAAGGTTTGCAAATTCTGATGAGAGAGGCCCCCTAAGCTTGATGGGAGTTTCTAGTCAGAACTAACAACACTAGAACGCTGACAGGAATGAGATGATAAAATTCAAGATCAGGTTTCATTTGGGAACAAGGACTCCATTGGCAGTTGGACTCAAGGCCATGTGTTATACTGTGGCAGAAAATTTGTCTTCATTTTGCTCATGTCCTGAAACTTTGTAGGAGACTAAGATTAAGAGTCTAGTGGAAGTAAAGTACATCATTGAGAGAAGCATGCATTGCTTTAATTACAAGTATACAACTAAGTTTAAAGTGAAAGATCAGAAAAAAAAATAGTCCATGGAAATTGTAAGTGTTATAGGCTGGATCCTGAATGCTCCTCAAAGGCTCATGTGTGGAAGGCTTAGAACCCACCTGTGGCACTGTTGCAAGATGGTAGAACCTTCAGTAGGTAGAGTCTAGTGGAAGTAAAGTACATCATTGAGAGAAGCATGCATTGCAGGAATATTAGAAATCTTATCCCTCCCTCTGTGTCTGTGTCTGTCTGTCTGTCTCTCTCTGTTTCTTGGCTGCCAAGACATGAACAAGTCTCCTTCATGTACTTCGGCCATAATTTTCTGTACCACTATGTATCCAAAGCAACAGGGCCAAGCAGAGGTTTGAACTCTGCAAATGTGAGCCAGAATAAACCTTTCCTCCTTATAAGTTGATTTATCTTAGGTCTTTGTTACAGTACTGAAAAGCTAACACAATAACTAAAAGAGAGCTAATATCAGGAAAATAGACTTTGAAAAATTATTGCAAGCAAACAAGGACAATTAGTAAAAGCACCAATACATTAAGAAGATATAGCAATTATTATATTGGTATGCAACAAGAGGGTCCCAAAATATATGGGGCAAAAATTTACAGAATTGATGGGAGAAAAAAGCAGTTATATAATAATAGAAAATGTGCCTAACAACTGTGTGTACATTCTTCTCAACTTCACAAGGAGCAGTCTAGGATGATCATACTTTATATCACAAGAGTCTCAATAAATTTAAAAAGCTGAAATCATATAAAGTACCTTCTCCAACTACAATGAAAAAACAGAAGAAAACTTGAAGTAATAGAAGAAACAGAAAAATGGAAAATTTCACAAATATGTAGAAATTAACACATTTTAAAACTGCCAAAGGAACTTCCAGAAAGATGGCGGAGTAGTAAGCAGCAGAGAAAATAGCTTCTCTGAGAGTCACCATGTGAACATAGAATCATGAGGAAGCCAAGAGGAAGGAAGTGGCTCTGTTGGATCCAGGAAGAGACTAAAGTCTAAGTCATAGCCAACAGAGAGAGTAAAAGAAAAACTTCAGTGAAGAAGAAGGCGGTAACTGGCAGCGCCTTTACCCGGAGCCAGACTTACTGCATGAGGGGAGCTTTTGGGACGTGCAGTCACGGTGACATGACGGTGGCTGCTGGAAACCCTGGAGGCCACTTCAGAGAGACGCAGCAGGCATAGAGGACTACACTGGCTGGCAGTGAGTGCACAGGACTCAGTCCTTCAGTGGGAGAGAGCAATTACCCAGGAGCAATTGTGTAGTCAGTCTGGATAAGCCCAGAACCAGAACTGCGGCCAGCTTAAACCGTCAGCTCCTAGCTGGATGCAGACCCGGGAAACTGCTTGGACTACAGTGAGCTCCATGAGTCTGGTCTGGGGCAGGCCTCAGTCATGGATTATCCAGGAATTAAGGTTGTCTACTACTCAATCATAAAGCAACTCATGGCTTGCAGGGATACAGTAGCATGATTTGGGATGCTGTTTCCACAGGCTATCTACAGTGAATCCAGAGAGAATCCTAGAAGTGGAGTGTTTTGTTTTGTTTTTCTTTTTCTTTTCTTCTTTTCTTGTTTTTGATTTCTCTCTCTTTTATTGTTTTCTTTCTTTCTTTCTTTTTTTTTTTTTTTTTGAGTGAATGGTTTCTAACCTCCTTGTAGGTGTGTTTTGTTCTGGTCTTCCTTTTAACTCTTCCAGCTCTCTTTTCCTTCAGTCTTCTGTATCAGTTTCCCCAAGTTGGTAGGATCCATCTTTGTCCTCCAACCTACATGTAATCTCTTTCTCTTTTCCCTCTTCTCTGTTTTCTCCTTAATTCATTTTGAATCTTAACCCTTGAGGACAGAATTGGCAGGTTATGGACTTACATATTGTATGTAATTTTTTTTTGTTGTTATTTGGTACCAGGATTGGACTCAAGATCCCACACTTGAAAGGCAAGCACTTATGCCGCTGAGCTAAATCCCCAGCCCAATGTATATAATTGTTATGCATTGTTATATGGTCACACATTCAGTTCATGTGGTTAAAAGTTGCAAATCAGGGGTTGGCTCAGTTTATTGTTTTATAGGCTGTGTTTGATGCTATTGGTACCCTACAGCCAAAATTGACATAGTTGTTCTGAACA